GTCAAAACTGTTGAACTAGTTCAAAATCATATTCGTCAAACTAATTTCATACATTCCTTTATCTTTTTTTCCTGTAAATCTTTCCTAAATTGAACAATGTCAGCTTCACTCATGAGGAGGTGTGTGTTTTATTGTTTACATTTGTCACAGTTCTACCAGAATGATACTTCTTGTATATTTGTTCTATGTATTTACATGTGTGTGTGACTGTATTTGTGATGCACAAGGCTGTAGAGTACACACACATGCAGTACATATACATATATACAGTACATAAATACATATATACAGTACACAAATACATACATACATACGGTACACACATACACACTTACATACAGTACATATACATACATACAGTACATACATACATATATACAGTACACAAATACATACATACGGTACACACATACACACTTACATACTTACATACAGTACATATACATACATACAGTACATACAGTACATATTTGTCAGTTACGTCTCTAAATACAGTCTTTGTGTAACTTTACTGTAGTTTATGTGTACAGTGAGCTCAGAGTCGTGCTCAAGTGTCACTGATTTTTTTTTACAGTGAAAACACAGAGAGAGTAAACTTTCACAATGAAAACATGACTAAGTTATTTAATTGTGTTGTTCGTACTCAATGTTGTCAGGACATTATTATTTTGACGACACAGACAGTTTCATTTACCTGAAGACTTGCTTTTGAGGAATTAACTTTTCATTTTGAGAAGGTGATGCACTTTTGCAGGTTATCCACCAGGTTTTACAGTTTGAACTAATTGTTCTGAGAAATGCACAAACAGTTGTACAGATGTGAAGAATTATGTGAAAATGCACCAAAGCGACTGAGAAATGCTGTAAACGTTGATTGATTGATTTTGTCAATATTCTGAACTCAAGTCTCTGGGCCTGGTCTCGCGGGCCCTCTCCCCCTCTCTTCCCCTCTCTCCCCCTCTCCCTCTCCCTCCTCCCTCATAGCAGCGTGTTAACTCTCAGGGAAAGATGTTCATTAGACTCTCGGCGGGGGTCCTGGTGTGGGCTTCACCCTGTCATTGACCGACGCATGAATGACTCAATAACGCCTGTGTTTGTAACCTGCAAAGAGCTTAAGGAAAACTCTGGGAGACAATGGAGAGTGAGGCCAGGCTTCAGATCCTGCAGCCCAAACAAGATCTCATTGTTCACCATTTTTTCTCTCTTTCCAAATTAAGGAGACCTCCCCCCAAACCCCAAACCCTCCAACCCTCCAACCCTCCGACTGCCTGGTCCCAAAAGCACTTCCAGGGCTGCACCGTGCCACTCTAGGCTGCGTCTAAGTGGGTTGTAATTAAACATGGCCGCCTCTCAGTTTCGCGAAGAGGCGCGGTGAGGGGAGTGCCGTTAGGACCGGCACACAGACGGTAGCTGATCAGGGATAATCTGCGACAGAGGCGTGGCAGCCCTGGAAACCCCAAACCCCCCCCCCCCCCATCCATAATCTTCAATGAGTTCACTTCACGGTGATGTGGGGACCGGACCTGTCGCTGCCTTTCCCACGGCTTCTTGGACAAACAACAAACTGGTACCGGCGCTGATCATAGTTATTGCTCCCGTTCTGTAGAAGTCAAATATAAAACTTTATTATTATCGTTAGTATCTTTTAGAACTTTTATAATATATTTGTTTGTTTGTACGGGTGTGTTTCTGCTGTTGCACACCTGATTTTTTATTAAGGTATCTGTCCATCTCTGCCTACCTACAGTGTCCATCATCCATCTATTTATGTATTTGATACAGTTAGTCACAACAAAACGTATAACATTTCAACTGTCATCACACATAAGACTGGCCTGGGTTAAATCCTACCGATCTGGCGGAACCCAATGTGTCCACATCGGTAACACTATGTTTGGTATAACTGCTATTGACATTGGGGTTCCACAAGGCTCTAACATAGGACCTCTTTTGTTCTTCCTAACACAGTGACACAGTGGTTTATACTGTACTTGGGGAAAAGAGGCTCAGACAATCGCAAATAAACTCACAACAGTCATGGAGAAAATTGAAAGATGGCCACGTGACTCTGATGATCTATGTGTTTGCACGGATGGAAATGTTTCTGCTGCTGCACATTTGAATTTGATCTATCATCTTTTATAAAATCTATCTATCTACATTTACACTTACTCTTTTGGCAGTTTGTTGAAAGTCTGTTAATGTTGAGCTTCAAAGGAGCAGTATGTAAAAATCTGGCCAAAAGTGGTACTGCAGCCTCTCCCACTCTCTCTGACCCAGGTTGCCAGATATGCAGACGAATCCAGCTGGGACCATAACAGCTGAATAGACAAGAGTTTTGTCAACAACAAATCTATAACCAACACCTTTTTCACAAAGATAGAAATCCTGGTTTTATTCCTTGTTTTGTTTTGAGATTCTGCTAAAACTGACTTGATAGGCTCAGCTACGCGTCCGTCCTCCTGCGTAGCCATGTTTGTTTTGCTTCGGCCTGGCACTTCTTGCTTTCGTCAAACCCGGATATCTCGCCCTAAACCCCCAGACTGGCGCCTGATTGGCTTGAACACCTAGATGTTCGACTCGAAAAGGGTTGGCTGGAGCGGGGCAAGATGTATTCTCGAGTGTTTCGAGTGAATTCAGCTTGCAGGCAAGGTTAGAGGGCGGGACATCAAAATGAAAACCACAACAAGATATAGGGGCTGTCAATCCAACTATGAAATTTGAATATCTCTGAATTACTGTTTTTTGAAAAGAGAATGGTTTATTAATGATTAGGGCCCTTTAATGATGACTTGACAAGAAAATCTTACATATTGCTGCTTTAACACAAGTAAAAAGAAAGTTGAAAGTCTGGCAGCTCACACTTTGCTGAGAGGGAAAGTGAACGGAGACACAGCTCTTGAGGGACGTAATCAGAGATGACAGTGAGGTCGGAGAGAACGCTTTATGCTCTATATAATATCACGGTGTCAGGGACGGAGCGAAGAAAGTGGATTAAAGCGTGGCTATATCTAAACCTAGAGCTAACTCTATTTGGAGGCGGTGAAGAGTAATTATTCAAGAGCGTGTCCAGGCTTTAGGGAGGTGGGTCAAACTCTTACTTTTGGGTTATTTCGAGGTGAGAAGTCGTGATTAGAGATACATTTGTAAATGCATATTGAGTAGAGTAGAGTAGAGTAGGGTAGAGTAGAGTAGAGTCGAGTAGAGTAGAGTAGAGAAGGATGGAGTAGAGTAGAGTAGAGTAGGGTAGAGTAGAGAAGGATGGAGTAGAGTAGGGTAGAGTAGAGAAGGATGGAGTAGAGTAGAGTCGAGTTGCATAGAGTAGAGTAGAGTAGGATAGAGTAGAGTAGAGTCGAGTAGGATATAGTAGAGTAGGATAGAGTAGAGTAGAGTAGAGTAGGATATAGTAGAGTAGGATATAGTAGAGTAGGATAGAGTAGAGTAGAGTCGAGTAGGATAGAGTAGAGTAGAGTAGGATATAGTAGAGTCGAGTAGAGTAGAGTAGAGTAGGATAGAGTAGAGTAGAGTAGAGTAGGATAGAGTAGAGTAGAGTAGGATATAGTAGAGTACAGTAGAGTCGAGTCGAGTCGAGTAGGATAGAGTAGAGTAGAGTAGGATAGAGTAGAGTAGAGTAGAGTAGAGTAGAGTAGAGTAGAGTAGAGTAGAGTAGGAAATGCGATGATAAAAAAGAGCTTGCCTTAGCAACCACCTAGCAACACGTCTGCCCCTGTTACGGCGCAAAGCTAACGTCTGAACAAAGGCTTGTATAGGGAAATTAGCTCCAGCTAGCTCATGTTCAAACTAGCTACTTCCAACACTATTGTGAGGTCACACTCGGTCAGTCCAATCCAAATGCACGCTCTATCATTTAAAAAAAAACATTATATACCAGACAATATTTCTCATCCAAACACATACTGTACTTTCCGGACTATAAGGCGCACCTGAGTATAAGCCACACCACCTACATTTGAAGATAAAGTTTTCTCCACTTACAGGTCACATATAGGCCGCACCTGAGTATAAGCCGCAGGTTTTTGTGTTGTAACATAGCAGAGAGACGACTGTTTTAACTGGACACAAAAGGATTTCATGATGAGGAGTTTAGCCGCTTAGCCGTTAGCTTCCATGTCTCAATCACCCGTTTATTTAGACCGAGCATGGCAAACTCATGTTATTTAATTATTTATTTTATGTAGCTGTGGTTAAATCCAAACCTGCTTGAAAATAATATCCAAACCTGCGTTAAGTAGGACAATAAACAAGTCTCGTATAGCAACAATATGGTGGAGTCAAAAAATAAGTCCATTAACTCTACTCTGTCAACAACCCAACTCTACCACAATAGAAATACACATATTAGCCACATTGCTGTATAAGCCGCAGGGCCCAAAGAGCTAAATTACTGGAAATAACGGTAGTATTGTTTTTTTTCTTTAAATTACTATATTTTTATTGCATTGTAACTCATCGACTGCCATTGACATATTTGCCTGAGACTGGTGACTTCTGTCAAACTTCCCTCTATTCGACAGGGGATTATGGGACAGCAGAAATAGCTAGAAACAAACTTATTTTTGCTGATGAAAACAGACAATCCAGTCTTTCAGAATCTGGTTTCATATTTACCACAGTCAGAGTGCATAATATTCTGTGGCTCTTGGCAATCAGTGAAACCGTCAAAAACAGCTGGCAGTCAATACCCCGGCCCTCCCACAATATCCCCCAGAGGAGAGATAGCGTATGATAATTAACACAGAATACATTTATAAAAAAAAGAGAAAGAGAGAGAGAAAAAAATACAAATAAAAATATGAATAAAGATAATAAAATAATAAAATAAAACATAGATAAAAAAGTAGAAGTAGTATCGCTTTTGTATATTTATAAAAATTCTTGTGTATGTTTCCTCATTGGGCCGTTACTACGACACACACACACACACTATAGTTTCCGCCACACACAATAACAAACCAACAGCCTTCAGGTAATCGAGTCAGATGTATGTTGGTTCGAATCCCCGTCCTCCGTGGATCGCTGCGGCCCCTTCATTAGAGCCCTGTGCTTCAGCCCCAACTGTACAAACACCAGCGTTTTAATAATTCATCCGTCAACGGGAGGCTCGGGTTCTGGGGAAACGGTCCATGTCCCAGACCGAGTGCAGTGTTTTCACAGGAACCCAATCCTTGGTGGGACCGGTTCTGTGGCGCTGGAGGCTCCGGAGAGAGAGCGAAGGGGAAATGTAGGATCCAGGAGAACAGCAGCCGACGCAGAGGCAAAAGTGTGTTCGTATGTTACCAGAGATTTGGATCGGACCAGTAAACGTCAAAGGATGTGAAATATGGCGTTGGGAAAAAGAAGGAAGTTGGTTTGCTCGTTTTAAGTGAAAATGCAGGTTTTTTGGTCATTTGTCAGCGGATAGACTGGTGGTTATTGGTGAAAATACTGGTAGTTTTAAGGTAAAGTGAATAACCTCTGAAATAGGATTGGAATATTTAGATTTGTCGTATCAGATTTGGAGAAATATCGAGAATAGACTTTAAATCAGTCTCTCCCTGGGACCGCACCAAAACTACATCTCTGAGGAGCAAAGGGACTGGGCCTCTTGCTGAAAATCTGAGGAGCACAGGGACTGGCCTCCTGCTGGGACTCTGAGGAGCACAGGGACTGGCCTCCTGCTGGGACTCTGAAGAGCACAGGGACTGGCCTCCTGCTGGGACTCTGAGGAGCACAGGTGCCTCGGATCTGTTCCTCTTTGTGCGACACAGAAACAAAAGAAATTACACTAAAGACAGAGAAAGTAGATCAAATATGAATAAAAAGCTGAAAGGGTCAAAAGCACAAAAAAGTTCTGAGAAAAAGAAAAGACACAAAGAGGTTGAAAAAAAAAAGCGGCTTAAAGTGAGTAATCTTTATTTATACAGCGCCTTTCACAGACTCACAAAGCACTTTACAAATGTCTCTCACTCCTCACAGAGACGGGCGTCACCAACAGGAGGCACAGGCCAGTACGTGTTATAGGGGGAGGGGGAACCGGAGCACCTGGAGGAAACCGGAGCACCTGGAGGAAACCGGAGCACCTGGGGGAACCGGAGCACCTGGAGGAAACCGGAGTACCTGGGGGAAACCGGAGCACCTGGAGGAAACTGGAGCACCAAGAGGAGACCGAAGCACCTGGGGGAAACCGGAGCACCTGGAGGAAACCGGAGCACCTGGAGGAAACCGGAGCACCTGGAGAAAACTGGAGCACCTGGAGGAAACCGGAGCACCTGGAGGAAACCGAAGCACCTGGAGGAAACTGGAGCACCTGGAGGAAACTGGAGCACCAAGAGGAGACCGAAGCACCTGGAGGAAACTGGAGCACCTGGAGGAAACTGGAGCACCTGGAGGAAACCGCAGCACCTGGAGGAAACTGGAGCACCTGGAGGAAACCGGAGCACCAAGAGGAGACCGAAGCACCTGGAGGAAACTGGAGCACCTGGAGAAAATTGGAGCACATGGGGGAAACCGGAGCACCTGGAAGTAACCGAAGCACCAAGAGGAGACCGCAGCACCTGGGGGAGGACTGGAGCACCAGGAGGCAACCCGGGGCACCAGGAGGACACCAGAGCACCTGGAGGAAAATGGAGCTAACCAAATAACAAAATCAGGTTCAACAGAATTTCCAGGCAATAACATTTATTCTGCACGTTTTGGATTTAATTGTTATTTTAAATGGTATTGTTTATTTTTGTGCAGTATTGTGTAGTATTGTGTAGTATTATGAGTTAGCGTGAGGTGTAAAGCAGGGACTTAAACCCATAAATCCATCATGACTTTTACAACATGTCGTCAGAATCGTCAGAGTCGTTAAAAAGAGTTGATGACGGTGTTTGTCAAACGTCACACACAGTAAATGTTTCAGGAGGTTCTGTGGAGACTAAATAACAACACACAGGTACGACACACAGGTACGACACAGGTACGACACAGGTACGACACACAGGTACGAGAGACTCAGGACCAGGACTGTATTCTCAGAGGTGTGTGTGTATGCATATGTGTGTGTATCTGTGTGTCTTTGTGTGTGTGTACGTGTTTGTGCCTGTGTATGTATATATGTGTGAGTGTGTGTGTCTGTTTATGTGAGTATGTGTCTGTGTGCACATGTGTTTGTGTGCGTCTGTGCATGTGTGTATGTGAGTGTTTGTCTAAGTGTGTGTGTGCATCTGTCTGTGTTTATGGATGTGTGTCTGTTTGTGAGTGTATATGTGCCTGTGTAAGTGTGTGTCTTGTGTGTGTACGCATGTTTGTGCCTGTGTATTTGTGTGTGTATATGTGAATGTGTTTCTGCTTGTATCTGTTTGTGTGCGCGCCTGTGTGTGTGCGCGCGTATATTTCTGCGTGTGTGTGTTGTGTGCGCGTGTGTGTGTGGCTCTGCTGTGATAGACTTGGCTCAACATGGCTGTGTATGTGAGTGTGTGTCTGTGTGTGTTGTGTTGTCTGTGTGTACGTGTGTGTGTGTGTTGTGTGCCTCTGCAGTGATCGCTGCGTGCCTAAACAAGACCTGGGACCGGTTCCAACGCTGCTCGGTGATAACAGCTATTCTGGGTCATGCACTCGTTCACCTCGACTCCAAAAAGGTTTTCACTCATTTCTCCGTCATTTGAGAACGGCTACAATCGAAACACCGGCGAGTGAGCCGCGGAGAAACTTTCTACTATTTATTTGATCTTGTTGAAAGAAAAGCCGGGGGACTTTTAACCCAGGGTCCAAAACCACTCAAAAATTAGGTAAAAAATGCTCGATTAAAGTGGTGTTTGTCTAAATCTGACACATTCGGACCGTTTTAAAACAAGATTTGCAACGGGACAAAATGAATTTAGTCTTGATTTCAAGAATTGTTGCTATATTTTCTCATTCCAAGCGAGACATTTCTTGTATCTTTTCAAAACAAGATCATTTTGCTTTGTCCCGTTGACAAATCTTGTTTTCAGGCGCAGTCAGAATGCGTTCTAATTAAGATATATATTGGCAACATTTTGGAAATTTTTCATGTATTTTTCATCAGTTTTTGCAGTGTAGGTGTTTGCAAAAATCTGAGGCTTTAAACCAAAAGTGGCGACACAATATAATTTAATCTAAACTTTATCTGGTGAGGTTTACCGTTCAGAAAGTACTGGACTCTATATAAAAATCCACATCAACGTCTTCGTCACAACTTCAGGTCACGTAAGATTCCCACATTTTCATTTACTTAATAAAAACAATATGACAAGCAAAGAAACAGATAAAAACAAACATATTAAATCAGTAAAAACTTCCAAAACCTGATCGTTTGTAAATGATTCCCGCGGCTTTAGCTCGTGCACTTGACCTGGTCTGGCCTGGCCTGGTTCAGGGACTTTTACACTGAACCTGACCCTGGACTCTCTCCATGTGCACGTCTGATGAGAGGATCTGAAGGATGTTCTCTCTGTGCCAAAGTCAGAGCTTCAGATTCATGGTAAAAAATCTGGAACAGTCTTCCTGAAAATGTGAGACAGGCTTCTTCTCTGACAATGTTTAAAACCAGGTTAAAGACGGCTTTTTTTTCCCTGTGCTACAACGGAAGGATTTAATCTCAACTCTTTTTAAAGCATTGTTGTTATTCATCATTCCAATCCCTTGAGTGTTTTTGGTGTTGTGTGTGATGTGGAGTGTGTAGCTCTTTGTGTTGTCGCTGTGTTCGGAAAAGCGCTAAACAAATAGAGATTGATTGATTGATCGACAGTTACGTGCCGCAGATGCAACGTCAAACTCGCAACGCTACGATAACAACCGTAATATTCAACAACTCTTAGCAACAGGAGATAGATAAAGTAAAGTACAAGTATTTCCTGCTGCAGTCAGACTGTATAACAAACAATGAGGACTTTTAATAGTCACTTTGTCCCAGACCCTCCTGCTACTATATATAAGCTATACATTTATAACATTAGAATATACAGCCTTTTGTGCTAGCTTCTTTGTTATGCTAAAGATAGAGATTTTATACTAGCTTCTTTGTTGTGCTAAAGATAGAGATTTTAGACTAGCTTCTTTGTTGTGCTAAAGATAGAGATTTTAGACTAGCTTCTTTATTATGCTAAAGTTAGAAAGTTTAGACTAGCTTCTTTATTATGCTAAAGATAGAGATGTTAGACTAGCTTCTTTATTATGCTAAAGCTCGAGATTTTATACTAGCTTCTTTATTATGCTAAAGATAGATATTTTACACAGTGTTAGCCTTAAGGCAGAAGAAGCCGATTTGGAGCCTGTTTCCTTATATGGGCATTTGTTCCGATGGCTTTAGCTTCGTAGCTTTGCGTCGTAACAAAAAATACGTGTTGCTAGGACGGTTGCTAAGGCAAGCCGGAGTTTGCCCCGCGAATGAAGGCCTCTCATTGGTCAAAACATAAACACCAGGATCACAGAGAGCGATTTAAACCCAAAATGGTGAAAGTGACAAAAACGGTTACTGAGCTAGAGGAGTTCACTTTTCAATGTAAGTCAAGAGTAAAACTTTGGCCATTAGCACGTCCCAATTGGGTTTCATTGAGCTAGCGTGTTAGCATTGTCCATCTGTATACAGTCAATGTTCAGCTCACATGCTCCCAAGTCTCCATCTGCAAAGAAATCACTTCCAACGTGCAATTGCCACGCAGCCAATCCAAGCAGCCGAACGACAAACCAGGGGGCGGGCTCAGAATATGAAACGGCCGAATTAGCTTGAGTGAAAAACAGCGGAAGATTTATGAGCGTCGGTTTGCAATAAATCAAACTTATGGCTTTTGCAGTGATTTGGTTTTGATTTTTTTCTGGCGTTCGCTGCTCGTTCGGAGAAACATCTGTGTTTGCTTTGAGCCGAGAGCACTTCTGAACGATAACGTGGAGAGAGTGAAGGACGTCGAAGCAAACGTTAGCTCCGAGATACTGACTCTGACCACTACTCTCTACTCTACTCTACTCTACTCTACTCTACTCTACTCTACTCTACTCT